GAAGTTGCTGGTCTTCTTGTTGCAACACCAACAACAGTTGCTTTTTCTTCAGTAATATGAGCAAGAAGATCCTTAATAGCACCTGGAACATCTGCAATTTCAACAGTAAATTCAACTTTTCTTCCTGCCTTAACAAGACCTCTTTCAATAACTTTATTGATAACATTAACATCAAGATTTCCTCCTGAAACAATACACACAACATTTGTATCTTCAGTAAGTCCTTTAATCTTTCCAGATAATAATGCAGCTACTGGAGTAGCTCCAGATCCTTCACTTACTATTTTACATCTTTCTAACATCAATAACATAGCTTGTGCAATACTCTCTTCATCAACAGTAACAATTTCATCAACATATTTCAATAAAACTGGTGCTGTCTTATCACCAGGTGCTTTGACAGCAATACCATCAGCCATAGTTTTTGCTGTCTTAACACAACAAATCTTATGTTCTGCTTTAGAAACTGCCATTGATGGACATTCAGCTGCTTGAACTCCAATAATTCTAATTTCTGGTTTAATTTGTTTAGCAGCAAAAGCAACTCCAGACATAAGTCCTCCTCCTCCAATAGCTCCAATGATAACATCACATTTTTCTAATTGTTCAAGAATCTCAAGAGCAATTGTTCCTTGACCAGCCATAACCCATGGATCATTGAATGGATGGACAAATGTTTTACCTTCTTCTTTACATAATTGCATAGCATAAGCTAATGATTCATCAAATACTTTACCATGAAGAACAACTTCTGCACCATAACCTCTAGTTGCAGTAACTTTAGCTGTAGAAGCAAATTCTGGCATAACAATAGTAGCTTTACAACCTGCACTAGTTGATGCAAATGCAACACCTTGAGCATGGTTTCCAGCAGATGCAGCAACTACACCTCTTTTCTTTTCTTCTTCAGTTAATGTAGCAATTTTATTAACAGCACCTCTAACTTTGAATGATCCAGTCTTTTGTAAATTCTCTAATTTTAAATAAGTTTTACATCCAACTTTCTTAGAGATAGTATTTGAATATTCTAAGGCAGTATAATAAGCATATCCTTTTATTCTTTTAGATGCAGCATATACATCACTAA